AAAAATAAATTAAGAAATTAATTGGATGTTTTTATAAGAAATGACAAGTCGAAGAAATTTTCTCAATTTTTGAAAGAAAAAATCAGAAATGATAAATTGAAGCAAATATGTTTTTTAGTCGCCATGTTGCATGAAAAAAAAAGGATTATTTTTTTCATAAATTTAGCTCAAAATTAATTAAAAAAAATTGCATACAGAAGAAAGAAAAAGAAAAAACCAAGCCAGGTCTGATTGGCCTTCTGCAGGCCCAGCTTGCCAGGGCTGGCAAAAAAAAAAAAAGGAAGAGAGAGCAGCCGAGGCGAACTTGAGTTGGATTGGATCACATGGTCATATAATTCTCCCCAATACAAGGGATGGGGTTAGTTTCATGATTGAAGGAATGAACAAACCTAAGTTTCTGCGTGGAAAACTTATTATAAATCAAACTGAGAAGAAATATTTAATTATAAAAGTAGGCCAAAGAACACCCTAATAAAAAGACTACTCTCCTTGAATGGTGCTTACAAAATTATGAATTGTCATTTCAATGCAAATTACTCTCTCTTTTTGTTTCAGCAACTTCTTTTCTCTTACAAGCTGATCATTTTTTAATTCGGAAAAAAAGCCATATCATTTTGTTAAATTCTTCTTTCAATTTTTATGTTCTTTTGTCTCCCACTTGAAAAAACGATATTATTTTGTTAAATTTTCTTTAGGTAAGAGTGATGCTGGTTTATAATCGAGTTTCAAGTCCTACAAGTAATACAAATTTGTTAAGACGTAGGAAAGTGACTAAACTTATTGTATCTTCGGGACAATGTGTAGTATATCTTTGCTCCGTTGCATCGGATAAATTCTATGGATGATGTGTATCTTGTCTAAAAGAAGCAAACTAGTTGTGCCTCGAGACAATCACCTATAAAATTATGATAAAATTGGTTTGGTGTTTTTTCCATTCAAAATTTCTAGGTAATATTCTTTTATTTTTCCATAAAAAACAATACTATAGGTGGGTTAATTTGGCTAAATTTACATAGTATAAGGTTTGTGTCACCAACATGGAAAGTGTAGGAGTTGATTTGACTAAATTTATCCACTAGAGAGACATTCGATGATTTTTAGCCAAAAATAAATAAAAAATAGTAATATATATATAAAATAGATAGCTCACTTTGTTATTATATAATAGTGTGAGTCTTCAATTTATTTTTATGTTTCTAATTAAATCTATCGTGTCCTTGAATAATATTTAGACAATATCATTCTTTTGTTTATACATTATTTATGATAATTGAAAATTTTCTTTAATTTGTATGTATGTTTTGAGTGTTTTCATCTAAAGCATCTAAATAAAGTTCAATATGCCCTTATTGATAATAATTTTAGTTTCCAATCATAGCAAATTTTTCTTTTATACAAACCAGTGAAATGAAGGGAAAAGAAAAATTTACTATAATTTGATACTAAAATTGTATTTTACGATAGTTAAACTTTATTTTAGCATTTTGGGCGGAAGCACTTAATAAACACGTACAAGTTGGATAAAATCTTTTAACTGCCATACAAGGTGAATAAATAGATAGATGGTACAGTCCAGTGTCGATTACACTTGCGCGTTGGAATTGATTAAAAAATCCAAAAGTTTGGGACTCAAATGATAACAGAGTAAAAGGTTAGAGGTTAAATTGAAGTTTCTCCAAACAATAAGGATGACGAGTGAAACTGAAATCTCATGTCATGAGTCTGCACATGTCGACCAACTTTTACTCTTCTTTTAAAGAATCATATTTATGTTATTTTTGGAAGTTATAAGACGTTGGTTTTGAACAACAAATTTACAAGGCTTTAGTTTAGAGTGGCTTGAACAACTAAATCAATATTTATAATGTCCTCTGAGTTTTATGTACTCCACCAAACTTGAGAGTACTCATTAAGAATGATTTTCTCTCCTTTTTATGCAATGACATATACATTTTTTTTTCTTTCAAAAAACTTGGAAAAAACATGGCACCATTAAATTTTAATCAACCAAGGTGCTCGTGCAGGATATATCAGCATTCAGCACTTGCTTAACAGTATTTTCAATGCTATTTTTATATGAAGGTTTTTTTCTTTATAATAAAGAGGTTTGTCTCAAATTTCATTTATAACGATCTCTTTATCACAATCTCTATTTTTAAAAGTGAGATACAAATCGTCTTTATTTCTCAAATACTAAAGAGTCCAAATAACTTTTTATTTTATATTTTATTAATGAAAATTATTATTTTTTATGTTATTCGATATCTTCATCAACGATCTTTCTAGGTTTTTGATAAAAAAAAGGCTGAAAATCTAAAAAACATGGGATGGAGGGAGATTGAAAAACGAGATGGAAGGAGATTAATAGAAAAAATAAGAAAAAATTAAATATTTTAAGATTTTGTTATAATAAAGAGTTAAAAGTAGAGAATAGCATTGAAGATGACATTAATATTCAATCTATATAATTAATGATATTCTTTATTTATATTAAAAATACTAGCTAAAAGTAGATAAAAATGCTCTAATTGATGCAAATTGCAAAGCATTTTGGCTGATACTTTTGAACTTTCCAGCATCGAAACGGCAGTGATCACAAGATTTGGATTTGATTCCTAATAAAAAAAGAAAAGGAAAGAAAGGATTCGGATTTGATTTTTCTAAGAACATGGACAAGTAGTCATGGCATGTTGTGATGCATGAAAGTAACGCGATGCCTTTTCATTATAATTTACAAGGTTGCTCCTACTGTGCCTTGCCGTACTCATTCTTTAACATTTAATACTATACTTCCCACATATTGTGACTCAAGAGTTTTTTTGAACTGTCAAACGTACGCAGTTGTCACAGTGATGACAATTAATGGAGATAGGAGAATGAATCAAAACGATACAGAAGACTTTTTAAGATCGTTTAAAAAGGAATTTAATTTAAATTGATGTTTAAACTAATTTAAAAATATATATTTTTTATAATAGTTTGAAAATATCTCCAATATAAAATAAAAAAAATTATGTTCAAAATAAAGTTGTTAGTATTCTATAAAAGAAAAGCAAAGAAATGAAAAGTTGTTATACATGCAAAGAAGAAAAGGCGTTCTAAAGCAAAAAAGCGTGTTCATTTAAGATCCACAGCAAGAATTACACGCTAATTAAAGAAACACTAAACTTCATTTCTTGTAATAGTACGAACCATTTCTCACCATTTTATTTTACTTAAAATGTAGTAGTAATAGGTGGTAATAAATGTGCTGTGATGTTCTTGAAAAACGCTCTGGCTTAATAGTGCAGTAAAGGAGGTCTTTATAACTGTTTGCTAAATTATATAATTACATGTCTACTGTTGGTCACGTTGGTTTAAGGTGTCGGAGTTTTTTTGGCTTGGTAAAGGATACAAATCAGTCTCTCTAGTTTTACAAAATTAATTAAATGGTCCCTCTTGTTTCAAAAATGAATTAATTGGTCTAGAAAACAATAAAGATCATGATTAATTTCATATTATTTTATCTAAAAAAATATCTTATTTTCTCACCAATATTTTTGTATTTTTACTTTTTTTCTTTTTCTATTTATTAAAAACAAAATAAATTAAAAACTAAAAAGGATTAAATTATAAAAATATTTTTAAAAATATAGAGACTAATTAAATAGTTATCAAAACAAGAGGATTATTTAATGCTTTTTTGTAAACCTAGAGGGATTAATTTGTAATATACTCATGCTATAAATGTGTTCCAGTAGGTCATGCAGCAGTAAGAATAATCTTTTTTCCTTGTCAGGTGAATTAATAAAGATTGATTAGGCAAAGCCATATTTAAGATGGTAGTCAACGTCCTAAGTCCAAATTCCCTCTAGAATACTCAATTACATGGAAGGAAGGTGATCTTAATTTATAAATACAAGATTTCAAATTTTATCATGCTACTTCATTATCGGTATACACTGTACTTGAATTGAGTTAATTATTCTTATTTTTTTAATTCATCAAAATTAATTAATCGCATTAAATATTTAATTCTTGAATTTTAAAATATACTTGTAATTTAATCTTTTTCACATATTTCATGTTACATTTCAATTTATTTATTTTATTTTAAGAAATAGAAAAAGGAAAAAGAAGAAGAAGCAGGCAATATGAAAAGATTAATAAAAAAAGTATATTTAAAAAAAATACTAAATTAAACATGGTAAACACTAGTTAAGGGATTATTGAATTATTTTTAATACTATATGAATTAATTAATATGTATTGAAAAATTACAGTGATTAATTATAATTAACTCCAATTGAATTTGATTCTGCTCCAACGTGGCGGTAAAAAAGAAGGGCAAAGGCATATTAAAAAAGTAAATTATAAATTAGTTATTTTAGTTTCGAAAAATGATTTAATTAATTTTTTTGTTTTAAAAAATAATTATTTAATCTTTTTATGAGAGTTAATCACGTTTAGTTTAATTTAATATTATTTTATTTTTATTATAAATCTTGTCATAATATCTATTTATTTTTTATTATTTAGAACAACAAAAACAAAATAAATTAGAAAATAGTATAAACAGAACAAATGATTAAATAATTAATTTTTAAAATAAAAGAAATTAATTAATTCTTATTACAAAACTAGTGTGACTGATCTATAATTTACTCCAAAAAAAAAAAAAAAAAAAAAGGCAAGCAAAAGCAAAAAAAGAAAAAAAAGACAAGACAAGAAAAGAAAGGCAAATAAAAAACCAAACCAAAACAAAAGCCAGTCTTGTTCTTAGCTCTCAGCTCTTTCAGTCAGTCACACACTTCCTCTCTCTCTCGGCCTCTATCGAATCAGCCAAAAAAAAATATGATCAGAAAATAAGAAGCTAAAAAGGCATTTCCTTTCCTGTCGTTTCTCTTTCTACAGTCACCATCACCGTAAAACCATAAAGATTTTGGATCTCTGTGACTGCAACACAGACACTCTCAGGATTGCTAAGTTTCAGAATTTTTGTTTAGGGTTTTGATGTGATAATGGAGACCACGAGAATGAAGAAGTACAACAGGCAGGTAAGTCCAGAGAGAGCAAAAGTGTGGACAGAGAGGTCACCAAAGTATCAACAGCAGAATCGTAAAGTCCCTGTTGTTTATTATCTCTGTAGAAATCGCCAGCTTGAGCATCCTCATTTCATTGAAGTCCCTCTTGCTTCACCTGATGGTCTCTACCTTCGAGGTATGTTTAGCGAACTTTTTGAACTGGGTTTGTTTTGTTTTTTGGTTTTGAGAGTGAATGTAATGTGAAGTGATGTGATGTTGCAGATGTGATTGAGAGGCTTAATGTATTAAGAGGCAGAGGGATGGCTTCTTTGTATTCTTGGTCTTCTAAGAGGTCAAAGTTACTTCCTTTCTTCTGTTTTTAGTTTTATGGACTGTTTGATTTGAAAATCATGAAAGAATTTGAAAATCGTGAAAGAATTGAAATCTTTAATTTTTATTTTTTTTTGTTGCAAAAAATTGTGGGCTACGTTTAGTATTTTCTGCTCTCCGAATTTATTAGAACAAGCGTTTTGGTTAGTTTCTAGCTGGGTTTTGCTTATTTGTTTGTTTGTTTGTTTTTGTTTCTGTTATTTATCGCAGAAGCTATAAGAATGGATTTGTATGGCATGACCTTTGTGAAGATGATTTAATTCTTCCTGCTCATGGAAATGAATATGTTCTCAAAGGTTCTGAACTCTTTGAAGAATCTAATTCAGGTGGGTTATGTAATTCAATTTAACTCATGGGTTAGTTGTTGTTTTATAACATGAAGGATAGGTTAAAGGGCTGAGAGCTTGAATTAATCTCCACAGATCGTTTTGCTCCTATTGGAACCATAAAAATGCAAAATCTGAAACTATTGCCAGAACCTGCATCTTCTAGAAGTCAAGATGATTCCTCGTCGTCTTCAAGTTTGAATGGAAAGGAAACAAAGCATTCACAGGAAGATGAAATCTCCCCTCCACTGCAACGTCCTGGTTCCTCTGGCGTGTCTCCAGAGTCTACAGTTGGAAAGAATTCTTCGTGGAATGGCTCTCTTAGCTTGACAGAATACAAGATTTACAAGAGTGATGGATTCACAAATGCTTCGACGCAGACTGAGGAAAACATAAGCAGACCTAAATCCCGAGAAACTTGTACAAGGGGTGTCTCGACTGATGATGGTTCTCTGGAACAGGAATGCAATGAAAACTGTCAAAATCGACTGCCACGCTTGAAGGAAAATTCCGAGATAAGTGAGAATTCAGTTTCCCCTCCCCCATCTTCCACTAGTGAGTCATCGTCAGGTGGGAAGACTGAAACTTTGGAGTCTCTTATTAGAGCTGATGTTAATAAAATCAACAGTTTTAGAATTCTCGAAGAGGAAGACATTCGAATGCCAAACAATGCAAGACTCAAGGCCACTAGTATGTTGATGCAATTGATCTCCTGTGGGTCAATTTCAGTGAAAGATCACAGTTTTGGACTAGTTCCAACCTACAGACCGAGGTTTTCTCATTCAAAATTTCCCTCCCCTTTGTTCTCTACTTCAATAACGTTAGGAGAGCTTGATTGCTTGTCAGAGAATCCGAGGATGATGGGCCTCAGATTGGAAGACAAGGAATATTTCAGTGGGAGCTTGATCGAGACAAAAATGCTCAAGGAGGGAGGAGATGGACTTGCTAGTCTGAAGCGATCTTCTTCCTACAATGCAGACAGGTTAACCTTGTTTCAACTCTTGTTTCTCTTTAGTGTCAAGTTCTTTGCATCTTATTTGAATATGCTGGCTTTTTTCCTCTCCCTGAAGAATCAATTGCTGCAAGTTGGTTATTCTAGCACCTAAGAAGCTAATACATGACATTCTTGCTTATTTTGCAATAGGAGTGTGCACAAACTAAGGATTGGCTTGTTGAATGGTGACTTGAATTGGGTTATATTAGTTTCAACAACCAGGCTTGTTAAGCGCTTTGTGGGTAGTTGAAAATTTTTACAAGATCGGTGTTCCTAAAAATTGGTTAACTTCAGAATTTGTTGCATAACTGGAGACAGGCTAAGTTGACTACTTTCATGACTGGTCATTTGAAAGTTTAATTAGGCTAATTAACGTGACTGGTTGTGACTGTCAACTAGCTATTCTTGAGAAACATCTTAGAATGACGCCTGAGTGTTCAGCTTGACCCTTAGGCTTGATCAAGAGAATTGACAATGACAATCATTGGATTTGCTTACTATTAATGTTTTTCAGTTTAATGTGGTTTGGAGGGATCCTAGCATGTTGGACATAACATGATGGTTATTAGTCGTTGGAGCTAAAATCTTTTCTTTGTGAACTTGCGAAATTGTTGCACCACCTTCTTTAACCCAACACTTACCCTGCACTTCAGGTGTTAATAATTAGGTCACATGCAATGTCCCACTGTATTAAAGTCATCCAAGAGTTTTGGTGTTCAAAAGCTCAAAGCTTTTACTGAGCAAAGCACAAAAGAATTTTCTATACTTTAGTTGGTCTGCACAAAAAAGGGTCATTCCACAAATTGAGTCATTATGTTGCTGTCTATTATTTGTATCATGTAAAATTGTAATGCTGTTAGGTTATATCAGAAAATGGTGTTGTCACGGTAGTGGATCATGCCATAAGATGAACTTGTTTCAGTTGCTGTGAAGCATAGAACAACATCCTGATGTGAAATAAATCTCCTTACTAACACAATGTTCATTGTAAATTCAAATACTGGGTAATTACTTATAGTAATATGCGTTATGTTTCTATGGATCTAGTCTTGACAACTCTCAATCTTTACATTTCTTCTTGGCTGCTTGGTCCTTTACCTGTTTCAACTTTGGTTCTTTCCTTTCATAGAGACAGCATGAATGATTGCCGTTGTTTGATTTAAAACAAAAAGAAGGGATTGAAGTGACTCTGTCCTTTCTCCTCACTCCCCGCTGCCAACTTTCCCTAACTGTAATGATGGTACTAATAATGGTGGTTGAGTTGGGGGTCCTGGATTTATGGGTTAGCTTTCATGAATTTTATTTCTTGACCTTTTTTTTAATAAGAATACTAAACATATTAGTACACAGGAAATAGTTCTAAATTTTTCCTTGTTATTTCTTAATTCACCTTAATTACATACATAAATTAAATTGCAGGACTTCTAAACAACCAGATTCGGTTGAAGACAATGATGAGTCAACCTCTGGACGCTCAAAATGCATCCCACGATCAATAAAAGCTTCACTAAGCAAGCAACCCCACAACGAATCTTTGCGATCACCTGTTTCTGATAAACCTAGAAACTCCTCAGATGGGGCTGATGGCTCTCAAGTAATACACAATAGTTCATCAAATGGTGGCAGCAAAAGAATTACAGAGCTGGGTTCAGGTAAAAAACAATCGAAGAAGCTAGATTCTTTCAAAGAGGAGGAGAGGGTGATCAGAATTGAAGAAAGTTAAGTGTTAGACTCCAATCTATTTTAAAAGCAGGTGCTAAATTTTATCCTTGTGTTTTCAGATTTTGACATTATCCTAATTTCATCTCAACAGGCTTGCTTCAGGAGCTCGGGTTATAATCCACTCTAAAGCACCTTGTGATCCCACTGTTTGCAGTCCGTAGGGCACAATTTGGAAGCTGACCAATGGTAATAAACAGTTGGTTCCTTTGAAAAAGCGTGTTGATGCTGTAGTTTTCATATTTGGTTTGAATTTCAAATGATGGTTAATTTATTGGCGAGGCCATGTAATGATTCTGTAAATCTAAAAAGTTCAAAAGCGTAGAGGAAAATGGGAAATAACCCATTTGCAGGGTGCAAGTTCAGGTGTTGTCTAATGCGTGTCAGCTTTTTTAAATGAAACTGTATCCTTTTTCAGTAATGCCTTCGCTTCAGAACTGTCCAGCAACTGCTTGCTGGTCAAATTTAAGGACCAGTAGTATGCAATTGACATCTGCCCGATGAATTATTTATGTTCTTTAGAAATGTTGAAAAGTATCCTAGGCATTATGAGGCAATTGTATAATTCTCATGGGATTCCTATGGTCAATGACAAGATCCGTCTAAGTAGCCTAAAGAGTCATAATTAATTGACTTTTTGGTAGAAAAGGTAGTTGACTTGTTACTAAACCTTCTCTTGAAAGTTTAAAACCAGCTGTAACTTCTAGGGTTACTGGTGGTCGTATAATATTACTGATGCCTTGTTTTTTTTTTTTTAAATCTTTTTTAATTTAAAATTTACCTTCCTTTACGACAAATTGAAGCCAAGCTACTGGAAAGGCCATACCACATTATGGGTTGCCGAGAAAAGTTACATTTTATTTTCACGTGTGAAGAGCTTTTTCCTCTGGAATGGTGAATGAGGTTTCTTTTGTAAGTTGCTTTGCAACCTGGAAAGAAGACTCGGAGACCGAGAAAAATACTATTACTAGTGCTATTTGGTTTCAATGTTTTCTTTTCTTCCTTTATTTGTTTGAAAAGGGCAAATAGTAGCTGACTTGAGTAGGGTTTACAATTTTGAAAATAGGACGTGGTGTAATCTTAAATTTTGAAAATAAATCTTAAGTAGGGCAAAGGATTGATTTCCTAGAAAATAAAGGTGGTTCTTTTTTTTTTTTTTAGTTTCCTAGGGGGTTGGCATGTATTTGTTTGGGTTCTTCTAGATAAGTTGGGATATTGTTTGCTGCCAATGCTTGAATATTTGAAGTAATTTGTTTTTCAAAACTACAAGGGTTAAGTTATAATTTACTCAGCTTATGGGACTACTACGGCATTCGGGTGGTAGATAAAGAAGTATATTATTTCACAGGTGCATGTGAATCCCTGAATTCTATGGTTTTTGCTTTGGCATGAAGGGAATTAGATTAGCCAATTGAAATTATGAGATATAGAGTAAGTTTTCTGGGGGAAAAACGACAAAGTAGAAAGACAGATCTAATTGTATTTTTAAGGTAAATTCCATGTTTATGTAAGAGGGAATACGACACTTTTTCCAACGCAACTCCCTAGTGAAGATAAGCCACATTCATACCCAATTACGGTGTTACTGATAGCATGGATGTTATCTTTGATTTGCAACCCTTAAAATATTTCTTTAATCAGCTTTGTCCATAGGAGCCTTATCTCTTTGAAGTGTAAATAATAATTTTTTTTTCATTTTCATTATCAGAAAAAAATCCAATCTCAAATTGAATATTCTTTATTTTGTGAAAGCATTCAATATGTGCCTTTTCTTTTATTTATGTTGTTTTCTTGATTTGGGATCAGGAGCCAGAATTGAGCTGTGCTGGTTTTAACCTCTTCGGCTCAATGAAGAAAGGTAGAATGGGAGAATTAAATGAATAGCGTTTATCAATCCATTTGTGTACAAGAAACTCCAGATAAGCCTCTATGCCATATCAAAATTTTTCCATTTCCTAGAAGGAATTGTATCTTCAAAGATTTTTCTTTTTTAACTGATACAATGCAGATGGATTAACAATGCTAACCAAGAATCACTCTTTCCTTCCCTGTTGGCGTGTTAGTGACACACTAACCATGCAAAAGAACGGTAAATCATTTAATTTTATTGCCTTCTTCTGATGAAACCGATGGTTAGCTAACCATCTCAGTCATCCCAGATGAGCATGGTGTAGCAGGGCCTCCTCGTGTCTGTCTGGTATTGTATGAGTTGCAGCTCAAGCATTTGTTCGCCACAATGTGGAATTGGACATGGGAATTTGCCCCACAATCATTGCAGAGAATCCAAACCTGGTTGCATGCAAAACTTAATCAGCAATTTGTATGGCAAATGGCTATTAAATAATCAAAGAATTCCCTGTCAACTCCAGATACTCACCATTTTATTCTGGTATGTTTGAGGCATAGGAATTGCTGCAATCTGCGTTGAGGTTTGAAAACAGTCAAGATATATAAACTTGCAACATGGAAAAATAAACAGTATTACTAACATGGAGTGTAATTACCTCTTGATCAATCTTTTTCCAGAATTGTGACATATCGCATATGGACTTGGAGCAAACTGGGCATGAATACCTGCAAAATCAAGTTATAAAAGAATCAACTTATTAGCTGACATTTGCCTGATGAGAGATACAAGGCAACATGAAACAGCACAAGAGAATCAGGAATTTTAAGAATGTGATACGTTTCTAAGAAAAGAAAAGAAAAAAAGGATGTGAAAATTTTTTGAATGTGAAATTAATTAAAGAGGATATAGAAAAATTAAGCTATTAAGAAAATGCTGCAAGCAAACATGAATTTGAGCAAGATGCATAGTGCTTACCGGTAATGTTGTTCCATTTGCCTTGCACATTCCAAATGCATTGTGTGTCCACAAGGTAACACAGTGATATCTCTCATAGTGTCAAATAGAAACTGGACGAAGAAAACACCTCTATGAGTATCTAGAATAATTTTTTAAAATTTTTGATACATTTGTATTAAATTATATTGATGCTTTTGTTTACCTCAAAACAAACAGGGCAATTATGGTGCATAGCCCTTTCCACGCAACGGTGGGCATCCTTCATCAACATTGAATAACAACAACCTGTGGAACAAAAATAAACTTGAAAATCAGTTTAATTGATTCAAAAGAAAAAAAGGCAAATAGATTGTAGTTTTTACTTCCAATCAAGCTTATTGGCTTATTATCTTCCACTCACCGCATTTGTTGCAATGGTAGAAATTTTCCTTTCCTCCAGTTCTGTAAAGGAAATGACAACAAAATCAATGAGTTTGAACAAGTAATTCATATACCATTCAGAAGAAAGCTATCTAGGCCATGAAATTACTACTTGACCTGGAAATAGAGGAACTTGACATGAAAATTCAAGGTGAAAATAGTATAAGCAAGTAGGTTCGGATAGCTTATGAACATCTTACAGTAATGCTCATCTAATGTAGCCGCCATTCAAGACTAAACTAGAAATGAACTGAAAAAAAATAGCAGAATGGGAATTGAGTGTATTACCTGCATATTCCACATTCATCACAGTGGTATTGATTCTTTGAAACCTGAACAAAAAAAAAAAGAAAAAAAAAGAAAAAAAAATCATTTTGCATTATTAGAAAAACTGTCTACATTAGCAAAATAGAACTCAAAAAGATAACCAATGAGAAGTACAGAAAATTACATCATCATCAAAGAATTTGCACTTAGCACAGTAGTATTTCCCCATGCAAACTCCACAGTTTATGCAATTCTGCTGAACCTGATTTAATACAACACAAGAATATTGTAAGAATTCCACACAGTTCTATCTTAATTATCAAATATCTTGACTTCTACTAATCTAATTTTACGTTGCAGACACTTACATCTTGTTCGGTGTCACAAAGGGAACAGATAACCTGAAGGTAAAATAAAACAGGATACAGTTAGAGAAAACTAGGAAAACCAATACAATAAACCATTGATAGAAGCGACATGAAAAGGACATTATGGCCTAAGGGCTTCAACCAAACCTTATCCCAGAAAAAAACACACAATTATCTCATTGGTCATATGTGATGTGGAAATTAAAAGTGATGCCTTTTATCAAAAAATTAATCTTTATCCAAAATCATGGACTTTTCAAGAGGTGTGCGTAGACAGTTTGTTCCTAACAGGACATCTTCCTGTTTTGTCTTCATTATTGGGAGTCTTCAAAAACAGTCCAAACTCTATCCACCACCTTTTGTCCATATGTTTATGTCTTTATCTCAAAAAGATAGGTAAAAATCTTGAGACCACCAATTGCAAAAGACTGCCTACTTTTTGAGAACCAATGAAAGAGGTACAAATTAAACTGAAATATTCAATAACATTGTCATTTTTTTTCACCTTTAAGGCATCACAGAAAGTCTTTTATCTGTTTCTATAATATCAAATTTTGGACATGACTAAATATGCCAGCCGAGCAGCAGAATTGGATGGAGTATGGATGATATGAATCAAGTGCAGCATTCCAACTCAATCAAACTATGATTTTGTCATATTGAGGGGTTTCTTCAATTCAATATCAATTCTGAACCAGAAAATAATTATGAGTGATGATTGGCAGAAGTCTATTATGAAAAAAAGAAAATAATACCTTTGTAACTTCATGGCGTGGAATATCATGTCGATCAAGTGGATTAGTTTCCAAGCTATTCTGTTTATACAAAAACCAGCTTAAAATTACTAACCATCTGCTAAGAATATGAATTATCTATCAAAGAACAAGAGGAGAAGGGAGTAAAGAAGAAAGGTCATTGTTTTTTGTACATATAATATACCTTAGCTTCATTATGACAATGCCTGCAATCAGAGATTTCATTGCAACAAGGTGCTCTGATCTTGCATCTCCTCCTATAATGTGAGCATCTATATATAGTTGAAGCAAAGAGAAAGAACAAAGAAAAATCTCGAATCAGGACTATAACAAATAAATGGCAAGGACCCACGTAAAAAAATCAATTTGACAAGAGAAAATAAGACATACCCATAATTCCCAGAACCAATCTCCATCAAAGATGCTTCTGTATCTCCAAATTCAAGAAAATCTAATTGTGCCACGGATTCACTCTAATTTCTCTTCAATTCTTTCAACACCTGAATCCATAAACACACAGCAAACTCAATCAACAACTGTTTCATTAAAAAAGAAGAAGATAGAAATCTATGGAACAAAGACAAAAGCACAAACCCAGAAATGAAGTTTCAGTAAAACACAATGCTCAACAAGCTTTTTTGAGAGATTAAAAGAAACCCTCTATTTATCTCCCTATATCCCTCTCTTCTCTCTTCTCTGTGTCCACACAAAAATCAAATATAAGTAGGATTAAAAGGGCTGAGTCAGCGACGCGCAAGGCAAAGTAAATTAACCTACAGGTATTAAAACTACCTAAAATAGATAGAAACCACAAAAATTTGTGACTCTAATTTGTTTCCAACAAAACAACGTACGTACCAAATCTTAGTGTGCTGTTTTGGTTAACCTACGGATGTTGGATTTGGAAGGTTTTTATTTGTCAACACTGTCTGATTTTCTACAGCTGCGAGTGAGTGTGATTCCAATGGGCAGCGAGCATGAGTTGTGAGGATGAATTCGATAACTCGTTTGCCTTTTTTATGCTTTGTTAGGTCGGTGGCGGGAAAGAACGGATTGGACGATCAAGGACCCATAGGGAACTTAACTGCTTTCAAACTGTAAAGGGTGTTTTGGAGATGACAAGGTTTTTGGGATTTTTTTGAGGACTACGCGCTTCGCTGTGGGGATATGTTCCCTCGTTAAGATGTTATTTATTGGACCATTTTCTTTAGCATATTACTTTCATTTATAGTAATTTTTTTTTTGGAATTTTACCCCTAGATATTTATATGTTATCTTAATTTAATTTAAAATTTGTGTTTTGATTTAATAAACTTCATAAGTTTCATTTTTTTTGCAACGTGCTAATAAAACCACACATGAGATGGTGAGACGCACATTTTTTTGATTACTTTATTTTGTGTACTTTAATATAAAAAGAGACAATGTTACACTTTTTTGAAATATTAGTTATAGTTTTATGGTAATTGGAATTCATGTTTTAAATTCATACAAAATTAGTATTATTTTTTGAATACTACCTACACAATTATTTTTAATTACAATAAATTGAAAACAGTATTAATAATGAAGATATTTATATCTTACAAACTTAAAACATCCCATAAGTATTATGAGTAATACTAATTGATATAAATTTCGTAATACTACAATATAATTGTTAGATACATGTGTTTTTAAAAAATATTAATAAGATTTTTATGCATAGAAAAGTAAATATTCTATATATAATAAGGGTTAAGATCCAAGTATACGAGTAATATTAAAAGAAATCATTTTACTTTACAATAAATGAATTTGTATATTTTAAAACCTTTCAATCTTCATATTAGGCTAATAATCATTTGACTAGATACATCAAATGTTTTTTGAACTTTAGCTCATTTAAATTTGAGTTTTTGAATTTTAAATTTAGTTTTTAGAATTTTTAAACTTTTAATTATTTAAAATTTAGTTCATTTTTATTTTTTATTATTTATTTCAAAAAATAAAAATCACATAAATAGTTCAACGATAACAAATTATTAAAAAAGATTTATATAAAACTCATCAAAAAATTTGAAATCATTCTAGATTATTTTCTATTTTTATTAATTTTTTTATATTTTATATTTAATAAATAAATAAATATACTTTTTATTTTCTTAAAAAATAGATTGAATTTTTTTATATATGTAAAAAACTTCAACTCAAAATACCAAAAATTGAATATTTTTTTATTGAATCAAGAATTGAATTTTTTAAAAGTGAGAATGATACCTGAATCTCATTGAATTAATTAAATCTTAAAAATTTTAAATTTTAAAGATTAAAAAAAAATTAAAATTTAAAGAATCAATTTTAAATGAATTAAAATTTAAGAGAAGTTTAACTCGTTTAATTTCTCATATTACTAGAATGGGAAGTGATTGTCACACAGATAGAAAACGCGTGGACGATGGTTCGGTCAATTCTTGATCGGATATACTTGACTTAAAGTGCCACTAAGGATCTGGCAGAATGGAAAAACTTGGAATTTCGGACAAAACAGCTGGCGTGAGGGTGGCGCCGGCTTTGCTGTCCACGTTTCTGTGCTTTATGAATAAAAATAGAATCGGATACGTACACCCACATGTCTATCCAAATGGATAGGATCTGACTATTTGCTGATTAGGCATCAGCCCCACTAGTGTTGCCATTACTCAGGCCGGGCCATGCATGACGTTGTCTGTGTTGACCGTCCGGTAAGGCTTTTCAAAGGGGAAGCTAACCATTAATTTTACATGGATTAAGAAATTTACTTTTGATTTAACTTGTAATTTCACAAAACATTTTTTTTTGTTTTAATAATGCATCTTAAATTGATCAATGATCAAATCTCCGTTATTGTAAAAAAAGCTGGCAGTTAACCATTATTTTTTTGTAAGTTTGGATGAAGAATAATTATTTTTTACAATAACAATTATTTTTATACTAATTACGAAAAAAAAAGATTCAAGATCATAGATTGTATGAAAAAAATAACCATTAATTATTTGGAAAAAAATTTATATTGAAAAAATAATAAAACAATATGTAATGAAGAATAATAGACAAGAAAACTAAAAAAAAAAGAAAAAGGTGGACTGGGCTGTCTGGGCAAGCTCTAGGTGGCACCCATGCCTGAGTGTCTGGGCAAGCTCTAGATTGTATGTAAATGGTATTTTAAAAGATTTTTTTCAAAAAAAGAAAAAGAAAAAGAAGCAGAGAGAGAGAGAGAGAGAGAGCTGGAGGGAGGGAGAGAGAGGTGAACGACACCACCACTAGAGGTGCTGCAACTTTGGCACTGCCCTTCACAACTTTCAACAACTATTTTATCATCGAAAAAAATCAAATGAATCGACAAAGGCATTGCAAATTATTTTCAAAAAATCAAGCGAGCCAACAACTGCATAGCAAATTATTTTCATAAAACTGAGCAAACTAATGTCGATATAGCAAACGATAAAATAAAAAATCAAACAAATTGACAACGGCATCGTAAATTATTTTCATAAAATCGAGCAAACTAACTATGAAATTTCAAATCATAAAATCAAAAATCAAGAGAACCAGCAACAAAATCGCAAATCATTTTCATGAAAATCAAATGAATTGATAACAACATCACAAATCATTTTCATAAAATCAAGCAAACCAACAATGACATAACAAATCCTAAAATGAAAAATCAAACGAATTGATAATGGCATTGCAAATCATAAAATAAACAATCGGATTAACCAATTGTCGCCACCCAACATTTAGAGAACTTTCAAAAATTCTATTAAAAATTATTTATTTTTGTTTATTTACTAGGGATGTGAATTAAATTATATTTTGGAGTCACCACCTAATATTAAAAGAATTAAAAAACCTAAAAATAGTATAGATTCATAGATTTTAGGATAAGGAGTTGATTGAGCGTAAGCTTGGCTACATGGAATGAAGAACAAAGTTACACTGGTCATGTGCCTTTGTTAGCAAGTCATGTAACACTTGATTGCTAAGGCTTCAAACCATATGATATCAAACAACAAACCATTGTGACTTTATGTATCAAACCATATGACTATGTCTATAACCTCCTTTAATAGAAATTCTCTTTGTAATAGATTACGAAAAACTAAACTCCGTTCTTGGTTGAATCAAGTCGAAGCTTTTAATTAATCGTTGTGAGATTACCGATTTTATTTCTAAACTTATCTCTATTAGATATTTTATTTTTTTTGCATGATTGGTTTATAGTTGTATGATTAATTCAATCGAGTGTACACTAGTTATTTATTCATATTACTTATTGCTAGCTAAGTATTCAAGTTTGTGTAATTGCTTGGTTTAAACTTACATATGGCAAGAATTAGGGGTTAATGATTATGTGATGTTTTCGTTCAATTCTTTGAAAAACATAGAACTAGGTTACATCTTCTCTAACGCTTAGGAAGGTGGCTTAGTTTCATATGTCTTTCTTATCTTAATGTTGTTATTGGATTAAATCTATCTAGCGTTTAGTAGGTTATTTAATAGATAGGAAATTAATTGAATATCGTATATTCGATTAACATTTAGGTAAGGAAAGACTAGAGTCAACATACTTGTTGTTGGCTAACGATGAATATTCATGTTAGGATGGGTTAATTATTTAATCAATGATCAAACCAAAAGTGGATACTAAAGTTCAACCAAGGCTTTTCTCATATTGTTATTCTTTACTACTTTATATTATTTTCAAGCATCTTATACACATAAAACCCTCTTTTACATATAAGAACGCTCAAATAATTGAAACAATTGACTAATTCTCTTTTTCTTTGGGTTCGACCCTTACTTGCCCTAACTACATAATCGTGATTAAAAGCTCGAAAGGACATATTATAAATAAATAATTTATTAGTAGTACGATATATCATCAAATTTTGGCATCTTGTTGAGGAAGAGTGCTCTAAGTTGATTGTTTCTTGATATCCTGGTTGTTTGTATATATTTTTTTTATTTGTAGTGTAAAATCACATGTCCGTGTCTCTAAGGAAAAGAAAAAAAGCTTAACTACATGGAATGAAGAAGTAAGTTGCACGAGTCATGTGCCTTTGTTAGTAAGCCGTGTAACACTTGATTTCCAAAGCTTTAAATTATGTGATATCAAGCAATAAACCATGTGATTTTATGTATCAAACCATGTGATCATATAATGCCGACACAAACGTGATGTAACCTTAGTTTTTTGTATAAATAACAAGTCTAAGGTATTATTTAAGGATCTCTTCTCTTCTAGCTCTTCCACAACCTCTTTTAGTAGAAATTCTCTTTGTAATACATTATGAAAAACTAAACTCCATTCTTAGTTGAATCAAGTCAAGCTTTTGGTTAATCACCGTGAGATTACCGGTTTTATTTTTAAACTTATCTCTATTAGGTATTT